CTCACAGGAAATGCTCAGCACCTTGCAGGATTGGGCTCTAGGCAGGAAGCATACAGACAGAGAATGTGGGGTTGGAAGAATCAAATAGGCTTTTGTTATTTCCCTATTTACATGAGACAGGATTTCTTCATTCCCAGAGAAATTGTATCTGGATGTTTTCAATTTTAATCAAAACAAATTCATAATTCTAATTTTATAATATACAGTACCAAGTTAAACTCTTAAGTGCAGTGTCACTTAAAATCTTGTTTGAAGCAGGAATGAATTAATCTACAGGAAGAGCATTTCATTTTTTAAATGTAATGAAGGAACATGGTTTAGCTATAAATCCAACAGTTTGGATCTTTTTGTAAGGGATTCAAAAGGTCAAACACACTGGAGTCTTACTTTGTGTATAATGGTAAAAATTACTTACTTCATAGCCTTTTTATTAAGTCTTATTTCTATCAACAGTAACTAATAAATGCTATTCTAAGGATTAACAAGTCAATGTACTATATTAGATTTCCATCACCTATATCCTTGCAGTAGCAAACCACACAGGAACTTTATATGGCATCTGAAAAAAATTAAAAAGCACTTTGTTTTTTAAACACACAATCCTACATATGATTCACAGTATCCTATTTTGGACATGATAGCAAAATTCCAAGGATCCGTCAGCCAAAGAGAAATTTTTAGTCTATCCCAGAAATAGCACACTGACTAGTCGTGCTTTGGGCTGCAGTAGTGGATAATAGCTAGAACAGAGGATTAAAAGTCAGAAAATGCAGGCTCAAATTTTCAGAACTGGATGCCTAAGATCAGGCATTGAGTCCTTACTTAGGCACACACAGAGTACACCTACACTGGAGATGTAAGGTGTAATTTCCAGCTGGAGCAGACATATCCGTGCTAACCAGAGTGGTGCAAGTGGCACTAATCACGTGAATATATATCTAGGGTCTTGGATGAGACTGTATTCCGGGCAGTGCCCATCCTGCCACTTGCACCACCACACCTACTTTCTGTTTTTAGTGCTCTAGCTTGATCAGAGCAAGCGCAGGTATGTCTCCTTGAGCTGGAAATTACACCTTCCAGCTCCAGTGCTGTCATATCCAAAGGGACATGGATTGATTTTCAGAGATCAGGAGTGACCAAAATTCCCACTAAATTTACTGTGGGGCAAATTTTCACTCTCTAATTCTGAGTGCCTCAGATTTTGGGCACTAAACTTTAGACACATAGATCCAGACTTTTAAAGATATTTAGACGTTTCGCTGCTCAGCATTGCAAAGCCTAAGTGATTTAGGCAGTTAAATCTAATTTTCGTCCCATTGACTTTCAGTGAGACTCTGTTTGCATATAAAATGATGCAAACAAATTGTTACAGTTGAAAGGAGCAAACAGCTAGGCACAGACGTTGCAAGACTAATTTATTACCATGAGTAATTCCATTTATTTCAATAGTAAAGTTAAGCATGGGTATAAGTCTTGGCAGGACCATGTCCTTATGCAGTAGGAGGGAAAATCTAAAGATTTCCTTCCTACTCACACATGCATGTGTGAATGCACATGCACACGCACACATATGAATGCTTTTTATGTAAAATGAGCCCATTAAGTGCAGTATTGTTTCTCCAGGAGGAAAAAATGCATCAGAAGGGTGGGATGTGGGGTGTGTGTGAGGGGGACTTTCTGATGAGGTTTTCCAAGTTTTCATTTTTTTGAACTTCTGTATGATGAAATATTTACATGAACATAACTTGTATTTTGTTTATGGTGCCAGAAATTAGATTCTGATATCAACTCGTAAATGACATTTTTAACTATTCTAGAAAGTTAAAAGGAAGTAATGAGACCATCAATTTTTGTGATGTAGTATATTTGAATAGTTCATTAATATTGTTTTAAGTTTGTAAGCCTTCAAAACAATTTTTAAGAAAACAATATTTTGAACACGTAAAAACATATACACATATAAGTATGATAGGAAGACTTATCAGTCTCCCCTCAGGCTTCCTTTCTCAAGAATAAATATAACCAGTTTTCTTTTTAACCTATCCTCATAGGTCAGGTTTTCTAAACCTTTTAGCATTTGTATTGCTCTCCTCTGGTCTTTCTCTAATTTATCCACATCTTTCTTAAAGTGTTGTGCCTAAAACTGGACACAATACCGCAGCTGAGGTCTCACCAGTGCCAAGTAGAGTGGTACAATTGCATAGCCCCTGCATCTTTGGGATGGAGCATACTCAGTGAAGATGGAGTCTTTGGAGAACTTAGCTGCCAAAGTCTAACAAGTCTCTGCTAAGCATATGGGAAAAGATTTTTCAAAGGCTTTCAACTTGGCCAAATTCAAGCAGATTTTCAAAAGAACGGCAAAAAACAGAAAACAAAACCGACCCCTGCCATCTAGTGTATCCCTGCCAAAATGTCATGTCCCTTCTCTAAAGCATGAAGGTGCTACAGTTTCTCAATGATTTTTTTTTAGCTTGGGCAAAACAGTGTATTTTTCCCTAATCTAATCCTTGGAAATGTCTGAACCAATTTTTGCTGAAATTTTCCAAAAAAATTCAGCCTAAGGTAGACACCAGCATGGGAAGTTTCAGCCTGAACAGGTAAAGTTAATCAAAATTATAAGCAACTCAAAATAGGATCTTATAATGGTAAGTGTTGGGTAGCCATAAGTATAGGCAGTGCTAACAGCTTCATCTATAATATACTACTGATTGCTCCTCTTAGTTCTGTAGAGACACCATATCTAAGAGGGAGAGAGATGGATTCTATGCCCTTTTTTGTTCAACATCAACAGAATTGTATACTTAGTTCGAATTTGTCACTTTTGTTAAAACTCATTTAAGGCAATAGGATGGAATAGGTGTTACTGAGGGCCTAACTGGAAGATGGTGGGATTGCATAAGTGCCAATGAGGACATAATTTGTTCTACAGAACCTTAATTGTTGGTGAGGAAGATGTATAAGGAAAAAAAGAGATTAGCTTGACTACAGGGTCTCGAGCTGAGTTTTCAAGGCTTGCAGGTAGGGAAAAACAAAACACATATTCTGCTTGTAAATGGAGCATATTTGATCTGAAATCACAGACACTAAAAATGTGGGTGTCAGTTTTCAAGAGTCACTTTTCACAGTAGAAGTGCACTTTGTACCATTTTTGTGCCTATCCACTCACCCAGTAATGGCCCCTAAGCACGTCTTGTATCAGTCTTAGAAAGGTTTATATTGTTTACCAGATTCACAGCTGCAGTACAATAACAACTACTTGTCTTTACTTTTAAGACCCTCCTTTGACTATTCACCCTATTTATCATTTTTCATATTCTATCAGATGTATATTCCCATCTCCACTGTCAGTGATGCCAGACTTTATTGCCTAATTGTCTAATTTTCCACTAAGCACCTTCATGCTCTTCTGTCCCCCATTACACTTAGAAAGAGCACCCTGTAAAAATCTGCAAAACCACCACGTTGCTTCCTTCAAATTGCTTCCTAAAACTCACCTCCGCTTCAACACCTACAAAAAACTCAACAATGGTTAGCTGGTGTGCTCTGACTGCTGCTTATCACGTTGATCATAATTGTCTCATTGTTACCTTTTATTCCTCTATTTGTTTGCTTTCTCCCCCTACTGTAGGATAATCCAATAGTTAAAGCATTGCTCTAGGACTCAGGAGATGTGGATTTAATTTTCTACTCTGCCACAGACTTCTTGTGTGACCTTGGGCAAGTCACTTAGCCTCTCTGTGCTTCAGTTCCTCTTCTATAAAATGGGGATAATGGCACTGCCCTACCTCACAAGGAAGTTGTGAGGTGGTCAGATACTACAGTGAGGAAGGCCAGATCTACTTAAGATAGATTTTGACCATCAGCTTTTCGGGGCAGAGATCACATTTTTGTTATGGAGCTGATGCCTTTAGACATTAGAGATTAATTAATCCTCACAACACTTCTGGGATATAGGTAGGTGAGTAAATATTATTGCCATTCTATAGGTGTAGTAACTAAGATACATATATGCTGCAGCTGGAGGTGTAATCTCCAGTTTGGGTATACAAAAACACACTAGCTATAATCCAGGTAGTGCATTAAAAACAGCAGCTTAGCCAAGGCTGCACAGCTGGTGGCATGGGGCAACCTTGTGAGTATACACAAAGGATCTTGGAGGAGATTATACTTGGGCAGCTAGCCCATGCTGCTGCTTGCGCCGCTGTGACTACATTGCTATTGATAGCCTGCTGGCTTGATCAAAGCTAGTGCATATACATCCACTTGAGCTGAAAACTGCACAGTGTAGATATACCCTGAGACAGAAAATTGAAGTGACTTGCCTACAATGTTGCAAATCAGTGGCAAACAGGGATTAACTGAACAAACATGATAAAATCCTAAAGGTATTATTTTAATAAATTATTTTGAATTATTGGTGATAATAGGAAATCCTGGAATCTTTACCTAATTTGTACTCAGACAAAACTCCTATTAAAGCCTATTAAACTCCCACTTTAATAGGAGTTTACTTGAGTAAAGAACTAAAAAAGACAGAAGGCCAAATTCTGCTCTGATTTAAACTGTTTTCAATCTGGAGCACACTGTGGAAGCCAACATTGTTGCTGTGGATTTACACTGTTGTAAGTGAAGCAAAATATGGTCCTTAGGCAGGACTTGGGATTTGTCCCAATGTTTAGACATACTGTGCACAAACTGAAATGTGCTATCACTCTTTCAAATGCCAGTCCTAAACTTTTAGTGCTTCCTGTGGCCTTGAATTAATATATGACCCGGCATTTTAAAAAATTACTTGTCTCTCTTATCTATTCTTTCCCAGAATGGCCTTTTCCACATTAGTACCCCAGTGCAAGCCCCTCAGAAGTTCAGTCCTGACAATATAAAGACGGATGCAATGCTATTCCCTGACTGAAGTGATATAAGGCCAACCAATTTCACCTATATGTGCAGTACACTTCCTGCAGAACTTCTGATTTTTTTCTCCTTCTTCTCTATTTTAGGACAATGGTGTGCAGTAAGACAGGCAGCAACCAGCAGAGTGTGAAAGCTATCGATGTTAACATTGAAAATGATCCCTCTCCAGGTGGCAGATACAATGCACTTTGTGTGAAAGATCAAGGTCAGCACTAATATGTCATTGAAACAATGTACTGTCACCAGTAAAAAGGACTTTTTTCTTAAATTTTCCTACTAGTGGGAGCAATGATGGGAAATTTTACAAAATAAATCCTTACAGTGTGTCTCCATTAAGTGAGGAATCTGTTGCAAGGACATGAGTTGCATGACATGATGGTCAAACTTATTCTTGCAGGAATTTAGCAGGTTCACACAGCAACAAAGCTTCTGACAGAACCATTTTGGTGTTCACATAACACATCTTACAACCTGAGCTGGGCTAGTTCTTTCTGTCCAAAACTTTTTTCTGCCAAAAAAATTCAGATTCAGCAACACAAACACTTCGCAAAGTAGTTTGCTAAATTGTTCATGTCAAAAAACAAACAAAATCTCAAGAATCTGAACATTTATTTACATTTGCAAAATTAAATGTTTTGATTTTTTGGTTCCTTTAGAAATTGCCTTCCAACTTATTTTTAAAACACTCAAAATTGAAATTACACTTTTCTTTTCAGTATGAACAAAATACCTCCCCCACTTTTTTCTTCTTACTTTTTGATTTACTGAAAATTTCAAAACATTTTTTCTGTTTGACCCAAAATGATTCCCCCCCCCCACACACACATTTTTTGGAATTACCCATAAACAAGGGCTGGCTCCAGGCACTAGCATTCCAAGCAGGTGCTTGGGGCGGTAGTGCAGCAATTCGGCGGCAGCTTCTCCTCTTTGCCGGCTGTGGTGGCAAATCGGTGGCAACTTCTTCCTTTTGCCATCCGCGGCGGCAGTTTTTTTCAGTGCTTGGGGCGGCAAAAACTGTAGAGCCGGCCTTGCCATGAACCAAAACAAATAATTATTCACACAGCTCTACTTACAAGCATGGTTGTACCAATACGTTCTGGGATTCCTGAAGTACTAGTAGTGCTCAGCTGTGTTGTTGGCAGCAGAGGTTTTTGGATAATTTCCCAACACAAAACATTGCATTGTTGGTTGGAGTTAGTCTAGGAAGAAATCATCCAATACTACACAGCTAACGACCTCATCTCAGGTATAGCAACAAACCAGTACAACTAATATTTGTGAAACACTTATGATGGCTATTATGTGTTGGCATGAGGTGCTGCACGCATGTTATGATTACAAGGTATGCCAGTCAGTTGGTATAGACCAGGCCTGCTTTGGGGACTCTGGATGTCATGGTTCATGCTGAATGTGAAACTAAAGTACTGTGCTAGAGGTTAACCTCAGTTGTAGATACTCAGATCCCAGGGCCCACCAGTAAAGATGTATTATGAGAAAAATATTTTTATTGATAGTAAACTTATCATACTTTCAAAAACCAGTTTCCAGAATGGAAATTCAGTCTAATTCAGCAGTACACGGAACTGGATAAACTCAGGAATTCAAATTCTGTGCAGTTGGGAGTCACACTGGCCCTTACAGCTACTGGAAGACTTTGGAAGCTAGGGAGTCAATATTCTGAACTCAGCATGTGGAATTAAATCTAAAATCTGTGTTCCTCATTCAGACAAAAAACTGAGGGACAAATTGTGCTCTCAGATACACCCTGTACATCCAAACTCCATGGATATTAGTGGATTTTCTCTACACATATGCTTGTGTAACAGAATAATTTGGACCAGAGAATTCTTATGTAAAATATAGACTGTACAGTTGAGATGATGGAATAGTGGGGATGACCTGTTAAGCCCACAATGAGGTTTTGTGTGCCACTTCAAAGAAGGACAGAGCTAGGCAGATGGCATTGACTGACACAGTACTTGAAAAACAGTAAACTCACACAGCACTTAGGGTGTTTTAACAAATCTTTAGTAGGGCTATTGATTAATCGCAGTTAACTCACACAATTAACTCAAAAAAATTAATTGTGATTAATCGCACTGTTAAACAATAGAATACCAATTGAAATTTATTAAATATTTTGGATGTTTTTCTACATTTTCAAATATATTGATTTCTATTACAACACAGAATGCAAAGTGTACAGTGCTCACTTTATATTATTTTTATTACAAATATTTGCACTGTAAAAATGATAAACAAAAGAAATAGTATTTTTCAATTCACCTCATACAAATACCGTAGTGCAATCTCTATCGTGAAAGCGCAATTTACAAATGTAGATTTTTTTTGTTACATAACTGCACTCAAAACCAAAATAATGTAAAACTTTAGCGGCCACAAGTCCACTCAATCCTAGTTCTTGTTCAGCCAATCGCTAAGACAAACAAGTTTGTTTACATTTATGGGAGATAATGCTGCCTGCTTCTTATTTACAATGTCACCTGAAAGTGAGAACAGGCATTCGTATGGGACTTTTGTAGCTGGCGTTGCAAAGTATTTATGTGCCAGATATGCTAAACATTCATATGCCCCTTCCTGCATCAGCCACCATTCCAGAGGACATGCTTCCATGCTGATGATGCTCATTAAAAAAATAATGCGTTCATTAAATGTGTGACTGAACTCCTTGTGGGAGAATTGTATGTCTCCTGTTCTGTCTTACCCACATTTCATGTTATAGCAGTCTTGGATGATGACGCAGCACATGTTCGTTTTAAGAACGCTTTCACAGCAGATTTGACAAAATGCAAAGAAGGTACCAATGTGAGATTTCTAAAAATAACTACAGCACTTGACCCAAGGTTGGACTTCAGTACAAAATCTGAGAGGGATGAGTGTGGAGCATGGTTTCAGAAGTCTTAAAAGAGCAACACTCCGATGCGGAAACTACAGAACCCGGACCACCAAAAAAGAAAATCAGCTTCCAGCTGGTGGCATCTGACTCAGATGATGAAAATGAACAGGCATCAGTCCGCTCCGCTTTGGATCGTTATTGACCAGAACCCATCATCAGCATGGACACGTCCTCTGAAATGGTGGTTGAAGCATGAAGGGACATATGAATCTTTCACGCATCTGGCACGTAAATATCTTGCTATGCCGGCTACAACAGTGCCATGTAAACTCCTGTTCTCACTTCCAAGTTACATTGTAAACAAGAACCAGGCAGCATTATCTCCTGCAAATTGTAACCAACTTTTTGTACATAATTCTACACTTGTAAGTTCAACTTTCATGCTAAAGAGATTGTACTACAGTACTCGTATTAGGTGAATTGAAATATACTATTTCTTTTGGTTTTTACAGTGCAAATATTTGTAATAAAAATAAATATAAAGTGAGCACTTTACTCTTTGTATTCTGTGTTGTAATTGAAATCAATATATTTGAAAATGTAGAAAACATCTAAAAATATTTAAATAAATGGTATTCTATTATTTTTTTAATTGCTTGACAGCCCTAATCTTTAATCAAGCCTGTGAATATAATGACATGACAATATCATGCTGAAGTGACAAAAGGTGTGCAGCATATCTGATCTATTGTTAGACAATAATATATTGCAACATTTGACTTGAAAAGGGTCCAGTTTTCTATCTATTCAATAACTTCTGCAAAGATCATTGTGTACTTCATCACTTTGACCATGTCAATCCTGTCTTTGAATCCTTCCACTGGCTCCCCCTTCTCAATGGCACCAAACACAAACTACATGTCTTCACTTTCAAGGCTCTTCACAGCCTATCCCCAACCTTTCCTATGATTTGTCATGGATTATCACAATGTCAACTTTCACCTGCCGCTCATTGATGCCATTTTCCTCACCCAATTGTTGCATTTTGAAACAAGCACCTTTCTCCCATGCTGCCTGTCACACGAGAGAAGCTCTCATAAATATCCACCCAACCATCTCATCTTCCTTCTTCAAATCCCTCCTTAAAACTCTCCCTTGCTGTGTGGCCTATAAAAACTGGGCAATGGTTAAGTAGTTGGGGTACTGATACCACTGCCTGTCATGCTGGCCAATACTGTCTTATTGTTTCATTGTGCTCTGCCTGCCTGTCTCCACCTGTTGTCCCTTGTCTATAGTAAGGTCTGTGGGGCAGGGAGGGACTCTGTTTTGTGTTTGAAGAGTGCCTAGCCTAATGGGGTCCTGGCCTGTGACTGGGGCTCCTAGGCCCTACTGCAATACAAATACATCATAAAAACGATTTTTCAAAACATGGAAGAAATTGTTTTAGGACACTGTGGAATTGCACAATGAAAACTGAGGGAAATGAAATATTTATACAGAAGAGACCATTTCTGAGCAGCTCATTTGTGCGGGGCAGGGAGGCTCCTGATGAGAGAAAGGAGGACTATAACAACACACTCATCTAACAGTGTTTAATTCAACAATATTTCCAGATGACCACAAGGTGCCCTCATGCTTGAATATTCAACAGATATTGGATAAACAGTTTATGTTTTAACAAGCACTCTTAAGTAAAGGTTGGCTGGCCTGAGACCTAAGCCTCTTCATGACAAATTGTTCCACTTGGCTGGTTGCCTGTGAAGTTCTTTTCAAAAAGTTGAAGCCTTTTCACACACAATACCCTTTGTGAAGTATATTAATTAGCATAAAACAGGGCTGCTCACTATATTTCTGCATAACAGCTGTATGGAGCCAATCACTGTTTCAGTCTGTTGCTAATTGTCTGAAATGTAATATCAACATTCTAATGCTTATATGATTTTTACCTCTTTTTGAAAAAATGATTTTAATATATGTTTGCTATGGGAGAGTTACAAAAAAATACTAAAAGACAAATCCTGATCCTATTAAAATAGGGTAAAAGCCCACTGGCTTCAATGGCTTTAATAATTTAGCTCTAACCTGTGGAGCCCTCTTTTTAATCTCCTATCCTGAATATACTGGATGCACAGAGTTGCCCAGAGCTGGGTTTAGTGTTCGTATAGTTTTTTGTGGATTGACGCCCATCAATCCTCATCCCTGTGCTATTTCATGTTTTATCTAACCCTAGGCCCAAACGTATATACTCCGATTCTTTTCTCACTTATGCTGGTGTAACTCAGAAGTAACTCCACTGAATTCACTGGAGTTAGAATGGTGTATAACTGGTGTAAAATGGGAGAAGAATG